TCGTAATCAATTCAAATCTGGGTTAAGCCGGGGCGATCGTTACTCGCGACGGCGTCGCGACTCTTTTTGCATTGCTCTCGCGCGCGGAATAATGACTTCGCCAGAGACAATGATTACGATCTCTCACGGAGTGATATCGCGGATCTCATGAATCTCTAATTGCACCGCGGCCGGTATTTAATGCCCGCCCACTACACTAGGGACAGCGAGAGCTTCGACCGAACGCGGCCGACGATTAAGAATCCTTCGGATTGCCGGCGGCGAACGTAATGGCGTCGTTAAGTGCGCTAATGTGATTACTGGCTGAAAGGCGTCGGACGAGTCTCCGGCGACAAAAACACGCTCGGGCGATTTACGTTCGAGCCAGCGGCATAAAAATGCAGGTCGCACGGAAAAACGCGCTATTCTCGTGCGCCTTTTTCATCTCACCGCGTCATCTCGTTCTCTTTTCTCATCGCGCTTTCTGACGCGCTTCTTCGAGTTTGTGCTATCCGACGAACAAGCGAGATAAAATAGTATTAGCAAAAAAAAGTGCTATCATAAACCGCATTTTTTTTTTACCTCAGCTTATTTCAAACTCGAATAATCGCACGCCATCGCTATTTCTGTTTCCCAGGATCTTTTGTTTTTGCGATTAAAGAGTTCCTTTTTTTTTTGATAAATGGTATTATCATGAATTGTGTTTGCGTAACTCTTCTGAACTCTTCTTAAAAATAAAAAATTATAAATATTTTTCAGGAACACTGAAAAAAGAATGAAGTGATAACGCGCACCAACTAGCGCGATCTCCATTTGAATATGTTAACACGTTTCTTATCTCGTAATTTCATAATTACGCTACGCGCATCGATCGTATTATACACATCGAGCGCATCCATAGAAAGGAATACACACGCGATAATAATTGCGCAATGCTGATATTAGGTACGACGAAGTGCAGGTGTAACAGCGGTAAGTCTCGCAATGGCGAAAGACAATTGCTATGGATGACCGCATTACTTGATTTTTATATTCTTGCATCTTCCGACAACCAATTGTTTTTCACATGTCGCAACAAGCAGTCTAGAAATTTGTATAATTAAACGCACAATTTTCCCTGCGCCGTAAAACACGATTCCTTCAACCATTCTAAGACGCTTAATTGAGACTTTGGAATTTTTATAGCTCAGATATTTTTTATCGTGGAATTTTATACTACATAGTTTCTCTCCGAGATGTAGACATTCTTACAAACCCATTACATTTCATAATGCACGATATATTTGGCTTTTCTATGTTTCTTGATATGTTAATCAAGTTTTTAAGTAAAAATAAGATATAAAAGCTCGAGCAGAAATTTCATTTAACTCTCTAAAAGAACTGTTCGATCTTTCTCTATTTGTATGATTATCAACATTTGTAGAACGTTTTATTATTTTATCAGCGTTGATGAGTTTTTGACACATAAAAATTTATAACTTTTATTTATGTTTTTAAAATAAATATTAGGGTTTTAAATTTGAATTTCATTTTTATATATTTTCATTACGTAATAATAATCATGTAATCGTCACAAATCAATCGTCGAATGATTAAATTGTTGATTTAATCATTACTATTGTATAATTTCACATGATTTACATATTCGCGTATTAATTCTTATTGTTCTTATTTTCTCCTTTCTTCATTTCATATTTTTCTATTTCATTTTCCCATTTTTATTATATTTTATGATCTTAATCATAATATTCAAGTTCAATCATATATTTTTTTACACAGAAGACAGAGAAAGACAACATCATCACAGAGAAGAATTTATAAAAGGTAATTTTATTTTTCGAATCATATTATTGTGAGACAAATAATCTTTCACGATATTTGTAACAAGTCCAGTTTAATCTGCGGAATGACAAAGTGCTGGTTGCGTAACTTCACAGTTCTACACGTACATTCCTTGGCTACGAATCCTGCGTCCAATTTGCATCGAGTTTCTTTCGTCACCGAAAAGCTCCATAAATCTGCGAAAGGGGACTCCGATCTCGCTAGATCACCATCTGCTTAGCACGTCTAACGGACGCTCGTTAATTCTGGTGCGAACAGGTAAAATTTACGCGCAATTTGCTGGCAGCGATTCGCCGGTAGCAGCCGTGGCCTAGCGTTCCCGTTGCATGAGTGCGAACGCTATTTCGGACGCTAATTATCGTTCGGCTTGCCAAACGACGCTTTTTTCTTCCGACATGCTCGCCCGACGAATCGCGTATTCCTAATTAACGGGATAGCGCGCGATCAACACTCCCGTTCTAGGTCGAAGGCTAAGATTGGGCTGGCCTGTTATGATGTTAGACGATTTCGCAGATTTTAATTTTCATTTGAAATTTAAATATGCTTCAAAAAATAATTATCCAAAATTACTGAAAGACGTAAACAGCGTAAAAGAAAAATCAAAGATTAAAAAAAAAATAATTAAATAAGATTGATATATTCGAGATACTAAAAATTTGATTAGCAAATTTTCTTTTATTAATAATATTTGCCTAAATCCTAAGTCAGTAGATAATAATTATACGTTGATTGCATTTGTGAAAATATTTACGGATACATTATCGGAAATAAATTATAATTATGTACTTAAATATAACAGCATGTTTCCCTAATAGGTACTCTAATAGCTAAAATGTTGAAGTGAATAGATGCGAAAATGTTACAACCCGTTCGCTCGGACGAATCGCGCAGGCCGTCGGATAGAAAAGCACGCCGTAATGTGGACAGACCGAGAAGCGTTGTACACTTTACACTAACAAGCTCTAAATAAGCTCGTTAAGTCGTAAACTCAGTTATCCCTAAGATGAACCCGTAACTTAACCTTTTGTAACCCGAAAAGACTTTTATTGCGGCGCTAACAACCACGAGAGATGATTTGATTCGCTAAATCGAATTTTCTGTGATGACACATGATGGCGCACATGTCTCTTTCTCAAAATATCAGAAATACGAACGATCATTGGAATTAAGATGTTGAGACTAAGAATAATCTTTAACAGAGAAAGATAAATAGATAAAGAGAAATATATGAAGAGAAAATTAATTTCATAAACAAATCAAGGTGAAAATTTGAACAAAATGCCCTATATATTCATTGAAATCAAATGCTGACATTTAATTTAATTCAATTTTCCATTATAAGTGAATCAATTCTGTATATCTTTTGTGTTTTCAACTATAAAAATAAAAATAATGCAATATGATATAGTTTTAAAAAATGTAAGAAACTTCTTCGAAAATTGCTATCGTCAAGTTCTTCGTATAGAATTGCACAATTCATTTAAAATATTGTTACTCTTCCATAGAAAAAAAAGAATACTACAAGACTTGATGTCAATTTATTGATAATCGCAAATGAAAACGCTGACTCACTACGAAGGAGACGGCAATAGCAATGAAAATGAAGATAAACGAATTTTTTTGAGCATATTTTCGTCTTTGACTGTACGGAATTAGGACCTGTCTTCGTGACGGACTACATTACGAGACCTTACGACACCGTGAAGATACGATTAAATTGTTTTACGAGGATGTTGCAAAGTGCGTTCCACCGTTTACGACCATCGCTGCCGGCAGCGATGCGCGAAACGAGCCACGTTCGCGTTTATCACTTCAGCGTCTGACATTTCCATCAGCTTCGTTTCTTCTTGCGTCCGCGTTCCGTTTGCGACAGTTTATTTCTCACACTTTCCATTGTCGTATCGCGCCACGGAAATGTCAAGGTATAAATGCCACAAATGTTAAATGTCTCAAAGCGAACGAAAGAAGGAGGACCGACTTCGGAGGAGCTACCAACTCCATCTTGAATCGAACTCGTTGAAAATTAATAAAATACCGAAAACAAATGACTGTCAATTTTTTTTTTTTTAGATAATATTTAAAATGATTCAATATCTACAATATCTACAATATCTACAAAAAAATTAAAGACTTCCTGTTTGTCAACTGCCTTATCTTATCGTTCAACTAGAATTATGTCAGCATTCAATGACAAACGATTGTAGGATTAATCCTATTATCCAGATAATTATCAATAATTTATCAATAAATTATGAATAATCCTAGCTATCACACAGATTATTACGAAATGTGACTGGTCACTTCCGTATGGACAAAACAGTTTTGCTGAAGTATCTTAAAATTTGACCAGATATAGATCTGAAAATAATTTGATCGAACCATATTAAAATAAATTTTGTAGGACATTCAAATTGATTGCTAAAATATCAAAAATTGTTGCAATAATGCTGAAGCGTCCTACATAAACAAAATAATTTTCAGATCTATATCTGGTCAAATTTTAAGATAAAGCCGGCAAAACTGTTCTTCCCCTTGTGCGGAAACAGGTATTTTGCCAGGTCTGCCACACAAGGTTGCCTAGCTCGATAGTTAAGAATGGGTATTTTCGAAAAAATTACTAGCGGTTTCTATATCCATAAAAAGAGAGACTCACGGTGATCCAATGCCGATCCAGCAACGAATCCATTGTCGGCTGAACATTCCAGGCTGGTATTAGCGGTGGCAGCAGCGTTGCCGATGCCCTGCAGGTGGTAATGCCCGAAGGACGGACCCCTGGGCGCCATGATGGCCGCGATGCTGAAGTCCGTCGCTTTTCCCCTCTCCCCCTTCGTAGGCATCCCTCCTCGCGCGCGCGACGACACTTACTCGTACGCGTCCGATCTCTTGTTACTCCGATCTTCTTACTCCGATCGATTCGTGCTCTCTTTCTCTCTGTCACGATTTTTTTGACGGTTCGTGTCACCAGGGTCCTCCACTTTCCTCTCTTTTTTTAAGGAAAGCCGAGAAAATCCTCACCCTCACTCGCGACAATTAGGCATATTATTACGTTTCTCGTTCCTCACTTCGTCCTTGTCTCCTCCTTGTCCTTTTTCTGTCACCAAACGTTCTTTCGTATCGACATATTGGCTCGCGACGGCGAGCGGGGGCGCCTCCACCTCTCCCCTCGGGGTAATCGTGCGAATGCGATATCTGTTAGCGCGGAAAATTTTTTCGAAGTCCCGCGGCGAATTGTCACTCTCGTATCTCCACCCTGGACTGATACAACGCTGATCGTCGTTGTCGATTACTGTCGCTGGACTTTACGAGGAACGTACGGCGCACAACGCGTCTGCGCTGCTCGACTTCCCGGACTCCACTGGCGTGCCGTTCCTCCTCCCACGCGCACCGACTGCCCCACCACGTTACCGCGAGGCACGGCGGTTCGCGCAGCGTGGCGTAGCCGACGATTACGAGAGAGCGCTGCGCGCGCACGTATCGACCAGCTCCGCAGGCGGAGCCTATCGGTTGACAGCGCGACGCTCGACCATTCGGGCCTCTCATTCTCTTTGTTCCCGTCGAACCGTCGGGCCAGCCGCCGGGTCACGTGACGGTAAAGGCGGTGCGTGAGGAAAAGGCACTTCTCCTCGCTCACCACACCCTGCGAGCCAGCAACAACACCCCCATTCAGCGCAGTCATTACCACTACTACTACTCGCTACCACTACCACCGTGACTATCCCACCACCACTGTCAAACGTCTGACACCGACCTCCCCTACTACAGCGACGACGGGGCGACGTGGGTATCTCGGAGTGGCGTAGCAGCGACACGGTGGCCGCGCAACGACGAAAGAGAGATCGATCGACCTCTCGCGCGCCGGATGGCCGGCGTTCGTACGCGTTTCGTATCTACGTATGTACCTCCGCCGCTCTCGCAGTGGCGTAGAACGAGGCTGTGGGGAACGAGAATCGCATGATTCGTTGTCTGTTGATTAACGCGAGCACTTAAAACCACCGCGCGCGGTTTATAGATGCTCTCTAATTAGACGATTTATCCTATCGGAGCAAGGCAAACATCGGGAGGACGCGCGCGCCCTCGCTTGGGGGGTGATGATCATGCAACCGAGGATCGTTTAACGAGGATTGTTTAACGAGTGTTTCAACGTTATTTTGTCGAGCATGAAAATTCGATTCGCGTGAGATAAGACCGGATACAGTCTGTTTGAGGGAAACGTTCAAGTCTTTTGCCAAGCGATGCCAACTCGAGCGATGCTATGAAGTTACACTTCTCCGATGGAGATGTACTCGCGTTGATTTTCCGAGAGAAGGCAACGATAGAGCGTGAAGAGAATTTATTTAAGCCGAGAATCACGAATGCGATGGGATACGCGCTGGCACGTAATACGTAGCTAAAAGCTTTCGCGAGGGATTCCGAAAAACGAGGAGGGTTGCTTGTGCCGAGAATAATCATGAGGACCGAGGGGTATAACCGTCAACAATGCACAATCCGTTGTACGCCAGTTGTACACTCTAATTTGCGTGAAAAAGATCATATCTTTAGGAAGAGTTATCTGGACCAGTGTAATACTCGTATCTCTTTCTACCTTCGTTTGACACTAACTCACATTCCACCGTTACCGCCAGAAATTACACCAGCTTTTCCATCATTTGCGACGTGATTAATATCTAATGGCCTCATCACAATTCCTGTCTTCTAGAGATTAGAAGGTTTGTCTCTCTTTACTTTTACACAAAATATATTTATTTACAATGAAAGAAACGCTTTTGCTGATCTAAAAATTTAATCTTATATAGATCTGAAAATAATATTGTTGGATCATCCAATTAATTATTACTTAAACATGATTATTATGCTATGTACAAACATTTAATATATATTTTTAGATCTATTTTCTTAAATGTGTATCTAGCCAAATTTTTAGATATTTGAATAAAACCTATTTTCCGTGTATATGCCATTAAACTATTCCTAATTAAACTACTTTAAATATAAAATTGAATATAAAAAAGAAGAATAATATAAGATAAAAGTAGGTTATTCTCTTGAATAATATCTTGTCATTTAATCTATAAAATATTAATCTCTAAAATATATTTCTATATTCAGTAATATCTATATTCAGTATTCGTTAACAATTATATTAATTTATATACTTAGTTGTTAAAAATGGATATCATCAACGACATTGTCAACTTTCCATATTCGGAAGTGGATGTCTTCGCTCCACTGTTTCGCGATGAATTTTTACTTAAAGCACGTACCACGAATATTCGCCGGGAATGGTAGAATACGATAGAGTTCCGCGAGCATTATCGTCAGAACCGAGATGAGACGGAGGGATAGAAGGTTTGGAGAGACGAGCGGTAATAAAACCGTCGAAGACGCAAAGGGGACCGTTAGAGGCCGCGTCCGCGACGTCTGAGATGCATCTCGATCGATCAAACGAGCCACAAAATGGGCCTCGACGAGACAATTTCGATCCGGTGATCCGGGATACGTTCGCGGATCGACGAGAGAATCGAGAGACGAACAGAGAAATGTGGAGGGGGAGGGTAGATTTACGGCGTGTGTTTAGGCACTTAGACGCTTTACCTAGCCCCTTTATTATACTAATTTCTCGGGCATGTCAAAATACCTATCACGTATATGCCCAGCCTTCCGAATTCTATTCGACACGCTGGGTGCCCCCGTAGTCGAGCACATAAAGGGCCCCCTAAAAGCATAAAATATGAAGCCCGGGCAGTCTCTCGCCCTCGGTCTCTCTTCCTTCATCTTTCGAGTCGCTTTCAGGTAGCTGGATAGGAGCCTAGCTCACGCGCAAGTCGTCAAATCGTGAACCGCAGAAACAAGCCAGTTCCCCGGAACAATCCCCCACTTCTTCCCCGCATCCCGCAGCACTCTCCTCGATGTTTTTTGAAGCGGTTGCCGGGATGTGTCACCGTCGTCTTTCACAGTCGTCACCCGTGGCGAAGTTCGCCATTTAACGGACTATACGACTGTATCCACTTAAATGCGCGCGCCGATCGCACCCGAAAGTCGTGTGGATCTACTTAAAGCGCGTTGTTAACCAGATATTATGACCGCGTGACTACAATACGAATTCAGGGAGGTTCTTTGGTGGATTATTATGAATGGATTTCGCATGAATGTCGAATGTAAATAACACATAATCGTATATATAAAAAAAATCAAATCACATATCCACTATTTTTTTCAAATATTGCCGCAATAAATTATGTTAATGTAGTAGAGTGTTATTGAAATAAATTATATTAATACCACACATCAATAACAATCGCTTGTCAATAATGTGTAGTAAATGCCGTCGATATTGCCTTTATCATACTTTATAACGAAAAGATAATAAGACAATTTGTATCGACGTTTGCTAAAATTTTCTTCCTACTGACAAATAATTTCCCCTAGTGGTGAGTCGCTCGCTTCTACGCCGGTTGTTGCTCGCGGCAACCGGCTGGGACGGCGGCAACAGCAGCAGGTCGGATGCAAATTGCATCTCGACGGTTCGCGGATGGAAAAAAAATAAACGAGAAATAAAACGAGCGTGTTGGCGGAAGGAGAGGAAGCGGGCGAAACCCACCAGAGCGAGGCTGCTCGATGACGGGGTCGGGGGATGCGAGAGGGGAAGGTGGATATCATGGTGGAATGGCGCGAAGGGAGGGAAGAGAGAGGGCGAACGAACGCGTTGGCCGAAGGTGGACGCGGAGAGTCGGTAGGGCCACGACAGGGTGCGAGTTGCGAAAAAGGGGGGGGGTACGCGGGGATCATTCATCATCCGAGAAGAAGAGAAGCCTGCGCGAACACACCACCGTATCACACCACACGGCCGATGGTGGTGGAAGGCTCCGGCGTTGGAAGAGGTGGAAGGCCACCCACGCGGAACGATCGGGTTCGGTGGCGATTCTGAAGCCGACACCAGCGAGACTGATCTTATCGCGGGGTTCTCTACGTACCGCTGGCGCCGTGGCCAGGTGATCGGCGTGTTACGCGACGCCCGTTAAGCCTCTGATAAATTATTTAACAACTTTCGTGTTGGCTAGAAGCCGTGCATGAACCGTAATTCACGATGATAACTTCTATGTTGGCTACACGTCCAAATCCGACGAGCATAAGTTGAAATAAAAATATTAATAGTCGTTATGTTTGCGTGACTCGGAATTATATTACGGTAGAATGTCCGCGATATAACTGATGTTGAGGATAAGACGAGAAAGTTATATGCGCGTATACAATCGTTCTGAATTTCAAATAGTTGAAAATAATGTGATATTAAAATTAAGATCAAAGATCCCAACATTAGGATTTTTCCGCGTTGAGTAATAAAGAGACGTTACTTTGTCAGTCACGCTTAAATCAGTCTTGCCCACAGTTGGGCCTCTTCCCCCCCCCCTCCCCGAACGGATCGCACGCCAGAAACCAGTCAAGCAGAGTTACAAACTCCAACCTCTCATGGCACGAGTTTCTCGACTGCTCTTTCGAGTGGTTTCTGGAGAGGGTAAACATACGGTTTCTTTCCATCCAGGCCACCCCCGTCCAGCCTCGGGCAATCCTAATAATAACGACGAAATTGCCGTTTGCGGCGATAACGAGGAGACGATGTCGGAGAAAGACACTGAGTATCCTGTCGGTAGGGACAAAAAGAGGGAAAGAGAGACGAAAGAAGGTACGAAAGGAAGCGGGAGGGTAGAAAAGAGACAACATCGGCGACCTGTGGAAAGACACGGGCTTCCGACGACTCGAGGGTCGCTAAGATCGAGGACTCAATTCTGCTTGAGAGTGTCGCGGCGCCAGCCCTTTTCAGAGAGTCCCCGGAAAGTAAAACATAACGCCATGTAAATGAGAACTCGTCTACATATTCTCAAAGAAATATGTGTCTCCCGTGAGAAAACTATGGTTACCAAAAAAAAAAAAAAATAATCCATAAGGCCCTTTATTTAATCCCTTTATTTAATTTCTAAAGAAAACACGATTATGTAATACGATTATAATAATATAATTTACTTTTGTAATGAAATATATAAAACGTTTACATTTCTGAAACTTGATTTAATTAAATTCAAAAATATATTATTTAAAATAATGTGCTAATCAAGTGGATTAAATTTTAGAGGAAAAAACTTTTTAATACTTTTTTACTCATTCTTTCTCATTTTTATCATATTTTATAGAATATTCTCTATACTGTGAGGAAACTTTCTTTCAAAGCAAAAGAGCCGATAATCACGCGCATAAAGTTTTCGACCGCTCTTTCTTCGCAGGTTCCTATGTAGGCGGAAAAGCGATGGTAGTACGTTCAAGAGAAGCGAACACAAAAGAAGAACGAAGAAAGTACGAAGAAGAAGGAGAAAGTAAATCGGTGGGAGAAGAAGAAGATGGGGCGTAAGAACA